TGCTGCCTGCCCAACCCCAGCTGGCCATGCTCACCAGCATTTAGAGGTGAGGTGCTGTTGGTGGCCCTGTGAGCATGCAAGAGGGTCTGCTGTGAAACTGTCTGCTGTGAGGGATGCTGGGGAGGAAGCTGTGGTGGAGATGGGAGTTCACTGTCTCATACCTTGCCACTATGCAATGGTGGATCTCGAAAGAGACCCCAGGAGGAGGAGGGTTTTCTGAGGGTACTTTATAAAGCCTGGGAAAACTAAGGTGGTGGGAAGGCGTGGCATAGCTTTACATCTGGTGACCTCTCCTTCCAGAAGCCTGCTTTTGAAAGGTGTGCTTAAGTATCTCACATTGAGATCTATGGTGAGACTGATCACTTGAAGGGAGGTCAGAGGTGGGGAAAAGGGCTATGATACTACCCTGTGCAGCTCCAGCTTCCTCCCTGCTACATGACCAGCTGCAACCTGCACAGAGGAAGGCTGGGAAACTGCAAATGATGGAGAGAGCCTTGATACTGAGATGTGTGTGCTGCTTTAGGGAGCTGAGGTTACAGCCCTGCACCAGCAAGTACAGTACTGACGAGAGTATTCAGTATGACAGGGATCCATCTCTCCTGCTGTGTTATCTAGCAGGAGACAGAGGCTCACTGTAGGGCTGGCATCCCCTGATTTAGGAGCATAACTAAGCTGGTCCCTCTGATATCAATGAGAAGACCTGAATTAGTAGCTCATCCCCTTAATCCCCTTTGAGAGCAATGAACTTTCTCATTCAGTGCAAGGAAAGGCTCATTTGGGTTTGTCATCCTCTCTGGTTTGTAAACTTGGCTTTTATGAAACTAGCTTTGTCTGTATTTGGGGCTGCCAGGTCTGCTCCTTGAGTATGCATCTCATCTTAGGGGGGCACTTGGGCACTTCACAGCTATGGAGCTAGATGCACACCGCTGTGTTCACGCAGAGTCCCTCTCTGTCAATGCAGTCAGGAGCTGGCAGGGAGCAGCTGGGCGTGCTGTGATAGCTTCTTCACAGCTAAGTTGCAGCCCAGCAGAGCTCATCCAAGCAGCAGTGGCAGTTTCTTAGGCCAGGACCTCATAATTTGCATCTGCATGTATTTATCCACCATCAGTTCTCCATGAGGAGGTTTCTATGGCAGAGCAACCAAGTGCGTATGGAGGAATAAACACAACCCCACAGCTGCTCAGCTGAACCAGTCTCTTTCAAGCCTTGCTTTATCTCCAGCTCCTGGAGTTGCCAACTGGCAGCCAGGCATCATCAGGGATTAGTACAGAATTCCCTTGCAAGGGGCTGAATGTCTCATCTCCATTCTGCTCATTAGCACAGCACAGCTCAGACCAAAACCACAACTTTCAGCAGGGCTAAAACAGGCTGCACAGATCCTCCCTGGGGCTGGGTCAGTAGGTCTGCAGGGAAGAGCTGTGTCAGTGGTGGCCCGCAAGCTGGGGGTCTTGCCCCATTTCAGGAGGTTGGCACAGTTATGGAGAAGCTGTGAAGATGCCTTGATGCAGACAGTTACAGAGACAGTGCCCAGAGCCAAGTACTAAATGCTCAGCACCCCTGCTCCCTCATTCTAGATATGCCACTGACTCACCAGGTGGCTCCAAGCCTTCGTTTAAAATGCTTAATGGCTGTTTTCTTCTTGGCACGGAGTGCTGCTCTGCTCAGACTTTAAGAGTTTAAGCAGATCTTGCTGACATTTGAAATGCTTTTCATTTTTGGCGAAAGGTATTTTGGAAGGAAAAAAGGAAAAAAAAAATTGTTTCCACAGTAGGGCAGGAAACTGAGGACTGAGCCCAAAGAGTGGTAGGGAATGGATTTAAATCCAGTTGATGGCTGGTCACAAGTGATGTTCCCCAGAGCTCAGTACTGGGGCCAGTTCTGTTTAATATCTTTATCAATGGTCTGGACAAGGGGATCAAGCACACTCTCAGTAAGTTTACAGAGGACACAAGTTGGGCAGGAGTGTTGATCTGCTGGAGGGCAAGAAGGCTCTGCAGAGGGATCTGGACAGGCTGGATCAATGGGCTGAGGCTAACTGTGTGAGCTTCAGCAAGGCTCAGTGCTGGGTCCTGCACTGGGATCAAACAACCCCATGCAATGCTACAGGCTTGGGGAAGAG